AAACCATTGTTTGAGCCCCGAGGGGCTCGGGAGAGCCTTCAGGAGAAGGGGCCAGCGGATCGGCGGCCTGACACAGAGTCAACTATAATTATACATGACTGTCAAAGTGAAATATTCAGCAATGTGTGGTCACAGGGATGAATTATTAACTGCCGTTTGGACTTCTGTTTATGGCTGGGATTTGAGGTAGTGAGATGGAGCGCTATCTGGAGGAAAATGGAAAGCGCAAACACAAGGGGAAAGGGTGGGCTGAAGATGAAAAGGGAAGGCAGGTCAAGTTAGACACATACATCGTTTTTCATGATTTAAATTAGTTTTCACTGTGCTTTTAGTTCATATTTACACTTTTTTCACTTACAGATGAAAATGTCTGAAATGTGGTGATTCAAGCACATCTTGTACAAATATGCTGCGCACCGCATGCTGATTCCAGTTCTTTTAGTTTCAGTTCTTGTTTAAGCGTGTTGGGTAACGTGGTTTTTTTTTGTGAGCTAGAAAGTATTATTACAGGTCTGCATTTAGAGTCAGCGGTTATGGTATAATATAAATACAATAAATAAAGCCTGCTAATTCGGACGGACCATTGAGTGTGCTACCACACTCACATGTGACACGTTATACTAGCTTCAATAACCAGCAGAGCCTTAGCAATGAGTCAGTGTGGCCACCCAAAGCCCCGCTTAAACAATAAGTCAGTGTGGCCGCACAAAGTACACTCATGGTCTGGTAGTGCTGCTCCTTTATGCGCCAGTAACTGCTGCTGCGCTCCTCCATTTCATCAACAATTAGTGCCTGATCCACAAGTACCAGGTTAAAGTGTGGCAGTCACCCTGCATGGTTACTCACACATCGAGCATCCCACATAATATACTGCTGCCAATGTGTGGAGTTAAAAGGATCATTAATTTAAAAGTTTGAAAATATTTGAAATTTTGAATTTAATTATAGTATTTCACCACAACATTACATATTTATGACTCAAACAACAGTACGGGTAAAACTACAATTCCACCCGGAGTTTGTATGTGCTTATTTTAACATATTTAATTGACACAAATCAACAAGAGACATCAAGTTATGTTTTGATTCATATGTACAGCACCAAAGCCAACCAAACCCGAAAACCAGGAAAAACCAGATCCCATTGCTTATTCCCGAGAAGCTAACTGACAAAATACAATATGCATTACTCAAAATATCAACAGTCTGCAGTATTGTACATATAAAAAAAGCAGTAGTTAAAGTAATCTCCCACATTTGTACTCAGCATAAAATCCAAGACAATTAAAACTTCTAGTTAACCACATCTGGAGGTTTTCTAGACTTCACCCACATAGGTATTTTTTCAAAGGGCGGACGTGTTGACACAGTACAATACCTGGAGCATTTGCCAGTCAGAGAACATTGTCAATGGAAAAAAAGTCAATGTGGCTTTTACTTCGGGGCACCTGAAAATAGCTCCCTCCAATCTGCAACTCTTTGGGAGGACTTGTTGCACTTCAGTAGGTGGGCTGATAAGAACGGCAATGGGATTGATTGCCCTTCTTCAAAAACATTAACAGGAGTGTGAGGAAAATTTCATTCCTGCCTCCACACACACAAACAGCCGCGCGGCGCTGAAAAGAAGTGTGATCGAGCAACATGTGACAACAGTATCACGCCGTGGGTAGAATGCAACGTCCAACTGTGTCCGCCAACTGGTGTCAAATCAATCCACACAATATCCAGAGTCTCACATCTCCAGGGTCTTTGCAACATTGTGGACATCAGCGTTACCACAGGACTACAGCTCGTTTTATTACCGTGGTCATTAGAGCCTCCATAAAGCTGAGGCCGCGTCCCAATGCTGCAGGAGACCGAGAATAAGGAAGGTGTGCGTCTGAGGAAGCGAGAAAGTCAGGTTATGAATGTGTGTATTTGAGTGCGTGTGTGTGTGTGTGTGTGTGTGTGTGTGTGTGTGTGCAGTGAAGCGTGTTACAAGGAAAGATTGGATCTGACCCATTAACTTTACAGGCCGCTCATTGAGCACCGGTGCAGCAGGGGTCAGTAGGGAGATTTCACTGTAAATCTTTACAACGATCTCAACGATAAACCAACAACAGAGAGAGAGACAGAGAGACGGGGGTGTCTGGTGAGGGGGGGGGGCCCAGTTCCTGAGTTTGACCAAAGCCAAGATACAGTGCATCCGGAAAGTATTCACAGTGCTTCACTTTTTCCACATTTTATGTTACAGCCTTATTCCAAAATGGATAAAATTCATTATTATTAAATACATTCTACACACAACAACCCATAATGACAAAGTGAAAACTGTTTTTTGCAAATTTAAGTGTGCCACGCTTGTGGAATCATACCCAAGAAGACTTGAGGCTGTAATTGCTGCCAAAGGTGCTTCAACAAAGTATTGAGCAAAGGCTGTGAATACTTATGTACATGTTGCGTCCTTTATTTTTAACAGATTTGCAAAAATTTGCAAAAAACTGTTTTCACTTTGTCATTATGGGTTGTTGGGTGTAGAATCTTGAGGAAATCAATCTAATCCATTTTGGAATAAGGCTGTGACATAACAAAATGTGGAAAAAGTGAAGCGCTGTGAATACTTTCCGGATGCACTGTTAGTTTCACTAAGTCATCTGCCGCCGATCAGCCAGCTGGACTTTATTTTATTTTGCTATACAAAAAAAAAGAAGCTCAGCCAGGTTTCAAGCAAGTGCTGAGTACAAGTGGGTTTGTTTTTTTAGCCGGCCTGTTTTTTAGCTGTGGCCTTTCTGGCTGTATCAAGACACAGGCTGTGTAACCAAAACACAACCTCCAAAGTATGGCCCACAGGGGGCTCGTGTGAGGACACTCTGTGCCTCGAGGAAAACACAAACTGCAGACGTGTCGTGCGGAGGAGGTGAGGAGAGATGAGGGAAAAGTCGATGCACCAAATATCGTCAGACCGGGATGATTCTCGCTCTCTCCCTGGTTGCCCTGCGAGCACAGCAACTCCTTGACTTGGTCACAGCTCAGTTCCAGCCAACTTAACCCGCAAAACCGCTGCAGCAGCGTGCAAGCATTCTCTGGCAGGAGAGCCAGACCTTGTTCGATGCCATCTCCCTGTTTCTTTTTCGACATCAAATCACACTCTGAAACAAATCTTTCCTCTGTAGATTATTAATAATTCATGACTCGGGGCCATGCTCACCTCTGAATAATTGCTGTAGTTCTTCATGTATCTGATAGGCCATTACCTGGGAAGCATATGCTCCATTAACCCCTTCGGTGGAGAAAACCTACACCACTTTTTTCTTCCCTCTCCCACTCAAAGCATAAATTCCTCTACGGCCACAGTCACGCTGTGTATTTGCTTAAGCTGCTTTAAAAATAGCACAGAACCCTTTACTACTAAATGAAACATTCAAAATGATTTAGATTTTATATAGTTCAATGATCTTGAAAGCGCCATGTTGCTTTATGATCAATCCGTGCACCAGATTTCATTAGCATAGACTTGTGGCATAATGCGCACGTTTTGCTTGGACAATCAGGTTTTGGGCAGAGTAAAGCTAATCATGGTAATGGCTGTATCCCGGGAGTACCGGACGGTCCAATCATCACCCTCGCCTGAGAGTGCCTCTTTTCCCAGGGATGACATTTGATATGTGACTGCTTCTTCCATTTAGATTTGTTTTGATCATTAGAAGTACACCCACACTGTTCAGCTGCAGCTGCTGTTCTCACTGAGGTCAAGCTCTGTTTTTTGTGTGCCTGGGCTCTTACTGGTTGATCTTTGAGCCTGGCTTTGGAGAGCAATGAACTCTTGGTCAGTTATTTCTGAAAACTGTACAGTATGTGTGAAAAATAAAAATCCCACACACCACATGAATAACTGCCAGATGTGTACATTGAAAAGATTGAAATCTTTTTCATCCAGTGATCTTTTTTTATTCTATTTGCTGATGCAAAAGGTCAGTATTTTTTTATCCGTTCATCAAGATAGCAAGTTAATTACTGTTATAATTTGTGTCATACACAAACACGAGCAGGCCACTCCGGGAGGTCGTGGAGCAGAGAGTAGTGGCGGTGTAGGCCAGGTCTCCAGGCCCGCGGTTCACCTCGACCCTGAACCATGTGGCTATTCTGGGTAAATAACAAGGGCTGCACTCAGAGGCCAACTTCAGTTACGTGGCCGAAGCCCTGAACGACACGCAGGATCAAAACAAGATTAGACTGAAAGCGGTGGTTTGCTTACTCACGTGAACGAGGGAGGACCTCTGCCGACCAAAATACCAGTGACAGATTACAAGGATTAGGTTCCAATACTCCAGGTGCACGACAAATTACCTGCCTCTCATAAAAAGAGTTATCAATTTTGCACACATGTCAAAGTAATTAGGACCCTGGTAGGGGATGTGAATTTCACGGTAATGTCCAGTGAAAATGAGGAGGGGGTTGGGAGCATTCCAGCACACTGTGTGTGTGTGAATATTGTGACCTCAAAACCATCCAGCTAGTGTGTTTGAGTTGGAATGAGTAATCCCATTGTTTTCTAAGTTACACTTAATCCAGGCCACTGGTCTCGGGTTTGATTATTTTGTAATCTATTTTTTTTGGTTGAAAATGCCTTGAGCTGTAAAAATGGTCTTTTAGAAACTAACATTAAGCTAAAATGAAATAAATCAGTTTTAAGCTGTGCCAGTGAGAGCCTCTTTGCATTTGCTTCATGTCCCCAAAATAACTGGGAATTCCACTTTCTGCTTTATGTGTGTTTAATTAGTGTTGCAGGAACAAAAGTATTTTGGCACACTGTAATGACAATTTTGTTTCCAGTGTTGCATAATCTGTTAGTTGATCCAACGGTTTCCAAGAAGGAGTCATTTGGACCTTGCCGGAATGTTTCCTAACTAAACTTTCCCTCACACCAGAACTGGCAGGGGAAGATGGGCCTCCCTCCTTAATGGAATTTCCCGGTTAGGCAGAGCCACGGGAGGGTTGGGCCAATACAAAAACAAACTCAAGCCTGACAGATCTGTCAGTGTAAAGAGTAGCGAGTTAGGAGCGGAGACACATGAGCTTGAGGGGCAGACAGTTGATTTGCTGAGACCTTTTTTTTCTCCTACCAGAGCGACCATCATTGTTTGTGTGAGACTGTGGCCATGTCGGCTGACAGACAGGGCGACGTGTCAAAGGAAGCGAAGCAGGAGAGCGTGTTGCTGCGTCCTCTGGGCACGGCAGCCGCCCCCGGGCAGGAGCTGGTGTGTGTCTTCGGGACGGGGGACATGGGGCGCTCTCTGGGCCTGCGTCTGCTGCAGTCGGGCTACGCGGTGGTGTACGGCAGCCGCAGACCTCACAGCTGCGGCCCCTTGCCTCAGGGAGCTCAGGTAGCACTCACCGATCCGCGACGTCTTCTCAAACTCAGGGATGCAACTTTCGTTTCATTGCTCGGCGCGTGTGTTGCATGATGGTCCTGAACCAACTCAAAAGACCGTGTTGGTAAAAGAGACTCATCTCATCAGGTTTTGAAAGTTGACTTAGGTAAACAAAAGCCTGCGATAATGTGTTCTCATTGGTGTCTGCACATGTTGCTGCATGTCGTCTTTCATCCAGTACGTGCTTAACTATCACCCAACATGCTTTTCATTCCCCCGCGTGATGTTCGTCTGATGTTTAACACATTTCATGTTTTGCAGGCAACAGGCCACGAGGAAGCAGCTCGGTCTGCAGCTCTGGTCTTTATTTGTGTTCACAGAGAACACTATGACTTCCTGGAGACACTTGCACCTCAACTCAAGAAGAAGGTACCTCATTGTCAGATGCCTTAAAGTTACATAGCAGTTGGCTGATTCCTTTTTTTCACTCTCTCTGCTAATTAATTGATTGCAAGGTGCTGGTGGATGTCAGCAACAACCTCAAGAAGAATTTATACCCGGAGGCCAATGCTGAGTATTTGCAGAGGTAAGAGGGATTCAGGGACCACTATAATGCGATTTCCCCAAAATAAATAAATCTCAAAACATTCACTTTGTTTGTATGTTGTTGATCAGGCTGATTCCTGGAGCTCATGTGGTGAAAGCATTTAACACCCTCTCCGCCTGGGCCTTGCAGAATGGACCTTCAGATGCCAATAGACAGGTGCTGAATGTAGTCTGTTGAGAAAATGTTTTGGTTGCACATTGGTACTATATTTGACACTGCAATTTGCAAAAAAAAAGTTATTCTTTTGCAATTGAGGAATACATTATTTTCCAATAACAATTTACAATTCTCTAATGTGTAAACACAGCAGGGCAAAATTATACTCCTTCAAATAGAAACGCATTTCAGTCAAAACTATATTAATACAACTCATTATGAAGTTTTGATCAAACCAAATTGAAGTAAAAGAAGCCCAATCTGAAGAGTCAGCCTTGTGTCTTTGCTGTGAATGCCCTCTCTGATGTATCCTTGAATCAATTAACTCCACAGTGTCTCTTAGATCTAAGCTTGCTATCAAAGCTGCAGCTACATCTGGGCTTTCCATTCATTTTATTTAGATCCAGTTGCGCAATCCGTGAAAACACATAATAATGTAGGTGTCAGTTGTTGTATTTGGAACACTTCCAACACCATCAATTTGGTGTTAACTGAGCACTGGTGTTTTTACAAAGCCTTTAGAGGTGCTTGAGTGTTCATTCCTCTGGAGTGCAAACAATCCGTTCATCATTGTGCAAGTAAATGCATTAACATGCGTAAATATAAAATAATGAAGACATCTACCTCTGACATGGGGCATTTCGAGTGCTTTAAACACCGCAAGTGTTCTCATGCTCCAGGTGTACCTGTGTGGAAACAGTGATGAAGGGAAGCAGGCAGTGGCAGAGGTGGCCACCAAACTGGGCTTCACGGTTCTGGATAAAGGGTCTCTGTCAGCAGCCAGAGAGCTGGAGGACTTTCCCCTGCAGCTTTTCCCAGAGTGGAGGATGCCGCTACGCGTGGCCGTCGGCCTCACCGCCTCCTTCTTCTTCTATCTGCTCATTAGAGATATCATCTACGCATATGTTGACCAGGGAAAGGACGTGTCCTTCAGGATCATGGTGTCCCTAGCCAACAAGGTAGACTAGTCTGTCTGGTAAATTAGCATCACTTCCACTTAGAAAGTAACTAACTTTAATAAGGTTTAAGATTTTCCTCAGTAATCACGTCTGTGTTTAACCTCCATCCTTCAGGTGTTCCCCATTGTGTCCCTCATCATGTTGTCCCTGTGTTACGTGCCTGGTGTCATAGCTGCCTTCCTTCAGCTCTACAGAGGAACCAAATACAGGTCAGACGTCAAAAATTGCCTGTAGAGAACACATGCACACAGTATTTTTTGTAGTAAGTGAAAGTATGTTTTGTTTAAGGCGTTTTCCTGACTGGTTGGATCGCTGGATGCTGTGCAGAAAACAGCTTGGGCTGGTAGCCCTGGCCTTTGCTTTTCTACATGTGCTTTACACCCTCATCATCCCCATAAGGTATGCAACATTTGCACACATCCCTGTACCGCTACCCGCAAAGAATTCTCACTTTATTGTTGTCAGCAAAAATTATGACAGCTTTGAGCTTGAAATCATTACTGCAATTTCAACTGCAGTCCATTGGTACTTCCTCAGGAAAACATAGCTTAATGTAATCTAATTTAAAGAACTGTATTATTTCTACTATCATGACAGTTTTGATGTTTAGCTTGTACAGAAATAGATGCATCATTTTGGAAACTATTATTTGTGCTGAGAGGTATTTCTAATATGTTGGATACCCTCAGTAATCTCTAATGCGCTTACAGACGAGTAAAAGACAGAAAGAGACTTGTGAAGTTCTTTGCAGTAGGTGGTTGGTTGCTACGGTGGAACGGAAGAAGATGGGAGGATGTCCACCCACTTTAGCTGAGACGGTTCTGCATCTTCATTCATAATAGTATTTCTGATCAACAGTCAGGTGACGACAGGGTGTTCAGTGATGTTAATAGTTGGCTCCAAATAGTTTTCTCTTTCTGCGGCGTTTCAGGTAGCAGCTTCGTAAGAATGAGGTAATTGCTGTGGCGAGTCTTTTAGCAGCACTTAAAACTAAGATGTGATGCTACACTTTGAATTAAATGTGGTTGGGTTTTTAAACCTAGTGTGTTAAGTAACACATAATGATTAAGACATAGTGGAAAACAATTTGAGAAAGAAAGAGCTATGTAACTCATCAATTGTAACAATTAATTGTAGCACACAGACAGAAAATTACCTGGAGGAAAATACACAAATGATGTCATGGTAACTCCTACCACAGACGTTTAAAATAATTAGGCCTGATGACGGTTTCTTTTTGTCCTTTTCTTCCCTAGATATTATGTGAGATTCAGGTTATCTGCAAGTACCATCTCCCAGGTTAGAAATAAAATGCACTTACTCATATACAACCAAATGAATTCAGTGCTGTTCAAATAAAGAACCAGTTCAAATACCTTTACGTCTTCTTTCCTGGTGCTTTAAGATCAAGGAGAACAGAACGTCAGTGTTTGACACCACCTTGGCCTGGCGTGCTGACTCGTACTACTCTATGGGGATTCTGGGATTTGGCCTGTTTCTCCTGTTGGGAATAACTTCTCTCCCTTCTGTCAGCAATGCTCTCAGCTGGAGAGAGTTCAGCTTCGTACAGGTAGATACCGCCATGATTGTCCGAGATATTTGATCTGTGTTGTATGTGTTAGTGAGTGAGCCTCAGTGTGTCTGCTGATTCAAAGAGAACCATTATAGACACTAATTACAGAACTCCTCTTGTGCTGCATCTTGTTTACCTTGAAAATCATTGGCAGCTGCAGCTGGAGGAATGTGACATTTCTTATTACAGTTTCCAGTGGTGCTGGCCCTATTGATTCCCAAGCAATCTGTCAGCTTTTTCCATGAAACACGTGTGTGTGTGTGTGTGTGTGTGTGTGTTTGTGTGTTTGTGTGTGTGTGTGTGTGTGTGTGTGTGTGTGTGTATGTTTGTGTGTGTGTGTGTGTGTGTGTGTGTGTGTGTGTGTTTGTACAACTTTTTGAAGCCAGAACAACACACACGAAGAAGGAAAATGGAATGGCAGACAAAGACGTTGGTCATCCTACAGACATTTCTATCATATTTCACCAGCAACCCTCTGAGAAAATAAATACTACCAAGAAATGAAATGTAAGATACTAATTTAGGACATCAGGTTATCTCACTGTGGCCTTGGAAAGCTGCACATACCAGGAACATTTTGTAACGGTATTCCCATCATGTCCATTCTCCAAGATTCCAGCTGTGACCTATGACGTCATAGTCTGTGTGCAAACGCTGCCTCGGGCTAGATAGCTGCTTCCAACTTCCCGTTGGCTAATCTAATGAAAATGTGTTCTAGTTTTCAGTCTTCACAGAAGTTCACAGAAGTTCACAGAACTTCACCTTTTTTTCACCTTTGCCAATCAAAAAGGAAATTGGTCTAACAATTAATTCAGAAATGTAACTGGATCTTGAAAAGCTCAACTTCCCATTGCACACACTTCCCCTTTATTCAAGCCAGAGTTAGAGCAATGCTTTAAATGTTAAGTTATTCATCAAATGTAATTTAGGGGGGCATATATTATCTATCACCACAGTCTTGAAATGTAGCGATAATGGGTGTGGAAAGGACATACTTGCCTGATAATTTGAATGTGTATGTGTGTATGTTCTCTTGTGCACACACACAAGTGTATGTGCAGAAGGTATATGAGTGTGTGCACATGTGTAGGTGAAAAGCATGTCCCTGTGAATGTCCATCAGCGTCTTTCAGTCGATAAGCCTTTTACACAGGAATTGGTTGTGTGATGTCTTAACTTTTTTTTTTTCGTCTCTTTCAGTCCAAACTGGGATACCTCACCGTGTTCTTCTGTACCTTTCACACCTACCTGTATGGTTGGGACAGGTTCCTTCAGCCCTATGGCTACAAATGGTACACTCCTCCAGCCTACTTACTCTCTTTGGTGGTGCCCTCTTTGTTGATTGTGCTAAAGCTGCTGCTCCTGCTGCCCTGCGTCAACCGCAGCCTTATGCGCATTCGACAGGGCTGGGAGAGGAACGATGCAGAGGACGGGAGTGCGAGAGTGCTGCTCACATAGAGACTAAAATGACATATACAAAACAACGGCAGAAGAAAACGCAGACACGATGACCATTGGATTTTCAAAGGCTCATGGTTTTAGATGTCAAAGATCCAAGAAACTGCACCGGCAAAGGGAAAAGATTGAAACTCCTTGCCGTCTTTCTTTGGGTAATCTTCTTGCAATTGTTTAATTTTGGAGGAGGAGACACAATGACACCGTGTAGGCTTATTGTAAATACCCTGGAAATACACAAGTACTCGATATTATCGCAGCCAAACAGCATTCCAATACCAGTCTTTGGTAATTTCACAAATGTACATCCAGACGGGTGACATTCCCTGAAACATCAGTAGCAACATTTGACATTAGAGTTTCTCTTCAACCTTCCTCTACTGTATATGGATTTATATTCTTTGTATTGTATTTTAAATCTTTATTATTGGATCTTTCTTATTAATGTTGTTGTATGGCAAATTGAACAATTGTTAAATAAACTTTAGCACGACTGAACAAAACTGTCATGCCTCCCTTTTCTCTCCCGTAGTCAAGCGTAGTGTCTGATCCCTCTCCAGGGTTCATCCCTCTGGCCGATCTCCAGGAAACATTTGCTCTGAGCTTTTGGCTTCTCCCCAGTCACCACAGGACCTCATCACTTCATTGAAGAGAGGAGCGTGCATCATCGAAGTCCTCCGCAGAGAGGATAGAACATTTGGATGCGACAGCTAAGGCCCCTGATGTTGTCTCTCAGCATCCCTAAGATAGTGGATCCTGAAGATTTTGAAGAAAGCAGAGAACTAATAACTGGTTGTTGTTGTTGTTGTTGGTGACACGATGATCAAACAGCAGGCATGAAGTCATGCACTATATTGTCACATGCATAAATACGTTCAAAACACAAAACATACACGCCAGCACACAAGCACACACAACTAGTGCAGGAAGATAAAGGAAGGGGGAAAAAACTCAAGCCAAACTACCTACCACATGAAGGAAATCCCCTATTAAAATTGTAATTATGAACGATTGTGCTGCATTTTGTGCTGCATGTTTCTGGAGTCTAACTAATGTTAATTCGTTGACACAGAACCAGCTGCTGGGAACTCCACATTGGACAATTTTAACTAGTTGCCAACTTCGCCATTCACTCTTTCTCCAAAGTAAACAATAACTAAATAGAAGTGTGTGCTTGCTAAAGCAGCAAACTACAATCAACGCCAGCTCCACATGACACAGAGAACTACATGAGTCACCATGTTACTCAACACGTATTGACAAGTTGAACATTTGTGACTGTTTGACCAGTCGTTTGATGGCACGATGTCTGATGTTCACATGTGGCACCACATATTTTTGTATACACACTTAAATCAGTCCTCACTAATAAAATAAATAAATTGAAACTTGAAACAAGTGGTGGAAGTTTGACCGAATAAGGGGAGACTTACAACGAGAAATTTGTCTGTGTATTTTTAATGGACTTCTGGGCAGATGGACCAAAACACAACAGCTTACAATCAAGCAAACTACACCAGAATGGAACCGAGGGCATCCTGACCACAGTTTGTATATGCATGTAACAATAAATCCATATAGACGCGTACAGAGAGGGGCTGGTCAGGTGATTTATACGAGTCGATTCTGAGAAAGAGAGCGGGGGTTTCCCAGTTTGAGGGGAGTGGTTTCTGAGAAAGACGAACACAGTCTAATGTTTTGTTAAGAAAGATGGAACTTTCCAGAGGTTATAAAAGTGCTGCAGATGACAGGACCCCGAATTCTCTCTGTGCTGAAGCCATGAGTGTGCGTTATAACGTTGAAGAGGCTCTAGAGCTGATTTTTTCAGATGTCCAGCAAGACAACTCTGATTCACAAGAGGAAGTGGAGGTTGTATCAGAAGAAGATGGGGAGGAATGCAACCCAGAGCATGATGAATCATCTTCAAAAGAAGAAGAAAACCCTGGAGCTGAAAGTGAGACTTTCCTTTCAAAAAATGGCAAAATAACATTGTCCTCAGCCAGCCTGATCTGCAAAACCTGTTCGTAAAAATGTATACGAAAATCTTGAACGTACAAATTCGTAGTGATACATACTAAATAAATACGGACTGCAACTGATGACGTCACCCTATTCAAAGTGAATGGGACCTGCACCCCGTAAACACACTTCGTGAAGTCTAGCAATGTAAAATAAACGTGTTATGATTGCATTTTTAACGAGAAATCAATGTTAAATTGTAAGAATACAATACTAACCCTAACCCCCTCAAAAAATCCAACATGGCGGAGAGACGTTCACTCAAGAATTCAGCATGGTCCGCCATGTTGTTCACTCAAGGGGCGTGGTTAACCACCGCCAGTTCGTATGTATTGTTACGAATTTGTATGTTCAAGATTTTCGTATACATTTTTACGAACAGGTTTTGGAGATCACGTTGCCTCAGCAGCATATGACCAACACGGCAGCATGCAGAACAAAACGTCTATACAATTAAAGTGAATAGGGAAAACTCAGATAGTCACACATTTTGTGGTGAATGACAAGTTGTTTCTTCAAGCAAGATCAAAATTTGGTGTTTAAAATTCAATTAAGCTGCTTATATGGGGGTTTAGTGAAGACAGGTCATTTTGACCCGGAGGACATGGGGTGTATACAGGAAATGAGGACAACAGGAGGGTTAATACAATTAGTTAGATGATAAGCCTCTTTGGCCTCAAAGCAGTAATACAAATTGCGTTGCTACTGCATTTCTACAGTGTTATATTGTAAATGTAATCTTATTTTCAGTTTATTTTGTAACATTTGCCACATGGGACTACAGATGAAAAACAACTCTGGCATATTTACAGCGATGCTTTTATTAACGTGCACTGTCCCTCATCAAATGAACCAATATATAATCTTCAGCTTCACGGAGTAACTCACAACAATGTGACTATTTCAACATAAGAACGGCTTTCCTTTTAAATTCTGTTGATTCAGTGGAAAGCAAAAAGCAGTTTTTTACACAACAAGAATCTGGAGGCAAAAGAATATTTCAGATGAGGAAGGAAACACAGAGACACTCAGATAGAAATGAGGAAGCAGTGATTGTATATATCTCGCAATCCTGTTCACGCTGCGCAAAACATCCAGACACCGATTTCACGGTAAGATTTACAGAAGACAAACTGCAAAATACAGGAATTTGAAGTTGTTGTATTACTTCAAAATATTTTGTATATATTTTTCCACCAGCATTTTTCATTCTATCAGTACAAGGAACAAAAGAGGTAATTAAATTGTTAAACATAGAGTAGCAAATCAAACATGTTGACGTCAATAGAAAAGATAATGAAATAAGTGTATTTGTTGTATCTATTCCTCTTTAGATGACGTTTTTGTTGCTGTTGGTGATGTTGACAGCATGTGCTGCAATTCCTCAAGGTAAATAAAACATGGTTCTATAAATTACGTAAACTTTGGGTAACACATCTAACAGAACAGAAAAGTAAACAAAACACTGCCATGTTTTAATATCAAACTTGAATGCTGTGATAATTTCATGAAAACAATAAAATCTTTTCTTTCTTGTCAGATCTGTCAGGTAAAATGTTCACCTTCCCACAACAAAGCGCCACATCTCTAGTGAAGCTGACGGCGTCAGAACTGCTCTATCGTGCTGTAACCGTCTGTCACAGGTAAAACAGAATGTTCAAAATGAACAAAACAATCCACTGTATATCTCACTGTGGAAAGTATTGCGCCTGATAATGTCTTTTCATTGGCTACAGGTCCTTTACAGACCTTAAGAGAGACCATGCCCTTTTTTCTTTGGCCGCGCCCAGCAATGCCAATGAGTTCCTGATTTTCTGGGATGAGACAAAAAAAGGGTTGGAGCCCCATGTCAAGAATGCAATGACAGAGTATAGAGGGTTGGACTACAAGCTGAACATGTGGCACTCGATTTGTACAACATGGGACTCTGAGTCTGGACTGGTGCAGATGTGGTTCGATGGACAACCTACAATTAGGAAATTTATCACCTCTGGATCAGCCATCACTGGGTCCAATATAATTATCTTAGGCCAGGTACAGTTTCATTAATAAGCACTATAATAAATGGAATGAATAACCACATTCAACCTTGGTTTATTTTGTGTATCCAGAGTTTATATTTCAGTGCAAACATTGTGCGATTTGGATTTTATTAAATGTTTCTCAAACCATATTTGTGATCTACAGGAGCAGGATTCCTATGGAGGGGGGTATTACTTGACGCAGAGTTTCGTTGGCATGATGTCTGATGTCCACATGTGGGACCACACTCTTTCCCCCTGTGAGATACATAAGTACGTGGATGGACTGAACTTCACCCCAGGGAACGTGCTCAACTGGGGCGCGCTGGAGTTCCAGATCACAGGCAAAGTGATTGTAGAAGATAAACTAAATGCCTGTTACTAAACGTTAGAACAAAGCTACAGTAATTTCAGCTGTGCAAATCAAGTGGCTTTGAAATAATGTTCAATAAATTGCTTCAAAAGTGTCTCATAAGAGTCATCTTTATTGCTTGGTTGAACACAAGATGTTTTGACATGCATAAAGACAATAAATCAATACAGACATGTACAGAGAGGGGCTTGTCAGGTCATTTATACGAGTGGTTTCTGAGAAAGATGAACACAGTCTAATGTTTACTTAAGAAGGATGCATCTCATACAATTGGTTAGTTGATAAGCCTCTTTGGCAAAGCAAGAAGACAAATGTCGTCATCCAAGCAAAAGTTTAATGGGGGCACATGGTCAGTTGTGTATTGTGTCCCCTGCTGAACCTGAGTCATATGACAGTGGTACAGTGATCACTTTTCGTCTACAATACATCCCTCTCTATTTTTAACATTAACAGTCTGAGATGTTATAGGGTATTAATGTGCGTCTTTACATGGTGGTCAGGGGAAAATTTCGTTGCTACTGCATTTGTACTGAACTATATAATGTTACAGGGAGAGAAACGATTGGCTATTAATGTTTTGTTATGTGTCAATTCATTTTATCCGTTCATAAGTGATACAGGAAACATCTCTGAAATGTTTTGTGTTGATCATGAGAGATCAACCATCAATTTATGTGTTCACCTTCATTTGAAGTAAAGATGTAAGATGTAACAAAGCACAATGCACAGTTGTTATGGAACTATGTAAGTCATTATTGCACCCTTGCAACTGTAGTTCAGTAATTCGACCAAGATGTGAACACATTCATTTCAGAAATAGTAAAAACAAGAAAGAAATGTACATTTGCCACATGGGACTACAGATGAAAAACAACTCTGGCATCTTTACAGCGATGCTTTTATTAACGTGCACTGTCCCTCATCAAATGAACCAATATATAAACTTCAGCTTCACGGAGTAACTCACAACAATGTGACTATTTCAACATAAGAACGACTTTCCTTTTAAATTCTGTTGATTCAGTGGAAAGCCAAAAGCAGTTTTTTACACAACAGGAATCTGGAGGCAAAAGAATATTTCAGATGAGGAAGGAAACACAGAGACACTCAGATAGAAATGAGGAAGCAGTGATTGTACATATCTCGCAATCCTGTTCACGCTGCGCAAAACATCCAGACACCGATTTCACGGTAAGATTTACAGAAGACAAACTGCAAAATACAGGAATTTGAAGTTGTTGTATTACTTCAAAATATTTTGTTTATATTTTTCCACCAGCATTTTTCATTCTAACAGTACAAAGAACAAAAGAGTTAATTAAATTGTTGAACATAGAGTAGCAAATCAAACATGTTGACGTCACTAGAAAAGATAATGAAATAAGTTGTATCTTTTCCTCTTTAGATGACGTTTTTGTTGCTGTTGGTGATGTTGACAGCATGTGCTGCAATTCCTCAAGGTAAATAAAACATAGTTCTATAAATTACGTAAACTTTGGGTAACACATCTAACAGAACAGAAAAGTAAACAAAACACTGCCATGTTTTAATATCAAACTTGAATGCTGTGATAATTTCATGACTGAATTTGTTTCGTTAGGAATTTGTTTTGACTCGACACGAGCAAAGCTCTGGGTGTTCTCTTCTCTTTTCAATCATTTGTGTATTTAAAAGGAAATGCATGTCGAAAAACCTTCATAAAAATATAGACCAGCCTGAACAATAAGCAAAGCAAAAAGCTAAGCGTAGTATCAAAAACAGTTGTGATAACGATAAGTATTGTCTCTCTTTGTACAAGACATCAAGTGTTTTACTTCCTAAAAATGTTCTTATAATACTGAGCGATGGCGTGCCGAGCTACGCTTACGTGTGCAAGCTCAGCAGACGCTGGTTTACAAGGTACTGTTTTAATACCTCTATGGCTGACTTTAATCCAAAATATCATTCAATGTGTAATCACCCTTTTTTTTATGTTGATAACGAGGATAATGTACAATTACTCAGCTTTACACTTAATGGCTGGGAATAATAATCCATACTGAGGAATAATAAATCTTTCCTCTTGTCAGATCTGTCAGGTAAAATGTTCACCTTCCCACAACAAAGCGCCACATCTCTAGTGAAGCTGACGGCGTCAGAACTGCTCTATCGTGCTGTAACCGTCTGTCACAGGTAAAACTGAATGTTCAAAATGAAAAAACAATCCACTGTATATCTGACTGTGGAAAGTATCACGCCTGATAATATATTTTTTGATGCCTACAGGTCCTTTACAGACATTAAGAGAAACCATGTCCTTTTTTCTTTGGCCACACCGAGTATTGCCAATGATTTCCTGATGATCTGGGATGACACAAACAAAGAGTTGCAGCCCCATATCAGGAATGCAAAGACAGTATATGGAGGGTTGGACTACAAGCTGAACATGTGGCACTCGATTTGTACAACATGGGACTCTGAGTCTGGACTGGTGCAGATGTGGTTCGATGGACAACCTACAATTAGGAAATTTATCACCTCTGGATCAGCCATCACTGGGTCCAATATAATTACCTTAGGCCAGGTACAGTTTTATTAATAAGCACTATAATAAATGGAATGAATAACCACATTCAACCTTGGTTTATTTTGTGTATCCAGAGTTTATATTTCAGTGCAAACATTGTGCGATTTAAGTTTTATTAAATGTTTCTCAAACCATATTTGTGATCTACAGGAGCAGGATTCCTATGGAGGGGGGTATGACTTGAAGCAGAGTTTCGTTGGCATGATGTCTGATGTCCACATGTGGGACCACACTCTTTCCCCCTGTGAGATACATAAGTACGTGGATGGACTGAACTTCACCCCAGGGAACGTGCTCAACTGGGGCGCGCTGGAGTTCCAGATCACAGGCAAAGTGATTGTAGAAGATAAACTAAATGCCTGTTACTAAACGTTAGAACAAAGCTACAGTAATTTCAGCTGTGCAAATCAAGTGGCTTTGAAATAATGTCCAATAAAGTGCTTCAAAAGTGTCTCTTAAGAGTCATCTTGATTGGTGCTTGGCTTGGTTGGACACAAAATGTTTGCCAGGAGGCAGAAATGTTGAATTTTGAGGCCCCACAACAAAGGCAAAACGTTGATATTAAAGTAGCTCTAAAACAAAAATGATAACTCAGAATTGCAAAGTTACACCATTCTTCTTTAAAACTCATTCTGTATTCATTATGAATGTGTTCCCAAACATTATTACCTTTACTTTTTTCACTTCTCTGCTTTTTAGAATCAGATCGGATATTTCTATCCGTTGTGCTGATCTCTTCTTTAAATGGACAAACAAATCTCCATTCAATGGGTAAGCAATACTTTGTAGACTCTCCCTTGTATGTCAATGGGCCTATTCTCAAAATATTGGCACAGGGGGCAAAGTTTCTCCACATTTCATCACTTTCCCAGTTCTTTGATTGTAAATCACACCCAGTTTGACGTTTGATTGCTCATGCAACTCACTCTTTGCAATGCGTCTCTCAATCAGTAAAACTAGCCAGTCCCATGAATCCACATGTATAATGAGAAGGTTACGGAGGCTAGTAACTAACAAGGACATGCACATTAATTACCAAACATTCTCTCACTGAAGAAGTTGCCCAAGCAATCAACTGCTGCAGAAGCTTCTCATGATGCCCGTCAGAAGAAACCAACAAACTCTGGACCTTTATGTATTTCTTAAAATCCCAAAAGTTGAATAACATTTATTTCCGCAATAAACTAGACTGCCCACCAGTTGCTATAGCAGCAACAATAGTACTCACAATGAACACCTCTCTTTTGCAAGTCCTGTTGAACCAATTGAGCATATGTGCTGGGTGAGAACTCAAAGGAGTCTATTGTGTTACACTAGCAGGACGCTGATGAAATGTTGGCAACAATCAGCTTTAAGTTTATTCGTCTACAGCGTGACTGTTTCTTTATTTACTTATTTATGTCCTTCACCGATAATAATTATGTCCTTCTGTTGCCTCTTAAGAGGACTTTAATTAATATCAATTGTGAAAGTGCATTGGACCATTAATTGGTGCAAAAGGAGGGATGACTGTTTCCCCCTGAGTTAAAGTGGCACGAATGCCAGAGATCCTCCCTGAATGGCCACAGTATGAAATGTCATTTGGTTTCCATCTCCTGATGATATGACAAGGTCCAACAAGTTTTCCATGTAATGTTAAGTTGTAAAGTTGCAATGTGATTAATCATTTATTAACCCCAATAACTAGCTGCGCTTAAGAATTAACTGCCTTAAGTTGTACAATTGTAAATAATTAATTGGGTGTCATGTAGCGCCTTCACTGGATCTGTTTCTTGAATGATTCAATAAATATATTTACTCAGTATTCATTCATTTCTGCTGAAAAAAGCCGGAGCTGAGTGTTTGTAAGGAGTCCTCCTCAGTGTAATAATACTTTGGTAAAACTGTGGATTAAAAAGTGTCATTTCAAAGAACGGGAGGATTTCTATCACAAATATCAAGTTGTGTTCTGGATGCAAAGCGAGGCCACTACGACTTTGCAATTAGTTAAATTATCTTATCTGTGAATCTAAGATTTGGTGTTTATTAGTTTGGGCAAGAAAATTATTACGCAGTTATAGCTGGACATACATAATCATATTATAGATTTCAGGGTTGCCTAGTTGTGTGAAATTAAACATGAGTGCAAATGACAAATATAAGCTCACTTGTTTTGCAGTTTTTCTATATGTGGCTACATCTTAATTCTTCTTCTTCTTCTCCTGAGGCAATATTGGAAAGCTGTATCTAACTTCAACATCAGCACACGCGCGCGCTCGCACAACGCAATGGCAGGAAATTGGCTAATGTCAACAGCAAGTTTTTGGGTAATAGGAGAACAAAACAACCTGAGAGGCTGTAATGAATTGTAGATTGTGTGTGCAGATAATGCTGTTATCTAATGCTGATGTTTGATAAGAGGATGCCTCTGACTAAATGTTCTCCTTTGGGCAAGAAAGACGCTGCACGTTTCTCTTGTATCAGAGGGCTCTGTCATGGCAACACCTGCTCCATCGTCCTCACGTCCCCCTTCTGCATCTTTATAATCTGACAAAGTTCTGTTTTGCACATACTAAGGTCTCGTGTCCTTTCCACCTGATATGCTACTTAGCCCACATGTTGTTTTTGCAGAGCGGGAGTCACATGTGTACCCAGCTGCTCTGCTTTAACTTATTCACACTAGACTGTAACTCAGGTGAATTAATATCCAACATTCTCACGGTGTCCTTTTAAAAAAAGGTCAAAAGTTTAATTATTGGTTTCCTCATATTATCATCACAGTGGAAACATTGACACATTAGTCTTATTTGCCTTTGTTAATCATCAAATGTGTACATGCTGTAATTGCAATTGTATATAACCAGGATCCAACTCACCGGGGAGAAAAACACAAATCTGACCTAAAATATTGATGCATGAAAATAAGATAAAATAAATATTATGCATACATTATCATCACAGATAACAATTTAGTTCAGTTTTTATATAATTTCCTTAACAGAGCACAGCTGTTAAGTCCCCAGATCTTCAGCCTACAAATTTTGCTTTAATTTTTGGAAAGAAATTCTGTTATTGGTTAGTGGATACAGTATGTGTTGTCATAATAGCTGAATGTGATTACATTCACACATTCAGTTTTCACTCTGTGTGTGGAATAGTACTGATTGAAGAGTGTTTCTCAGAAGCAATATGTCCTCCAACTACATATTATCTAAACTGTGGAAGCAGAGAGTTTTTTTTCAGAAATGAACAGGATGAAACAGTTATTAGCAACTTGGAAAAACGTGTGGAACGTATCTCTCAATTACATACGTTGAGTGAGTCTACTGTGCTTTTCATTTTAGGTTTAATGTTGTAGAATTATTTTAACTCCTTAGAGAATTTAATTCAACAATTTTTCATCATGTGTTAATTTAAGTTTGTTTAATGCTGTGCAGGATTCCTAAATATTTGACTACTGCTGGGCAACGGTTTTTAAATAGTTAATACGGTTATGTGATATTTGGTTCTGCCTTGTCTATTGCTTTTTGGGTGATGTTCTTCTTAACAGTTCATTAAAATTGGCACATTTTCCAGTCCCGTCTCATGTGCATCCTTTGACATAAATCATTTGATAAAATTCAGCTCAGACTGGGAAGGGTTTGGGTCCCCTGGAGATTCTGGGCCCCTAGATATTAGCTCAACAAGCCTTGATGCAACACATTTCTTTTTAATCTCTAGCATGTTTTAGAGACTCAATTCTGTTCTGTGTCCCTGTGGTGCTGCGAGAGCACGACTCCCAAGGTCACATCCGTCGTCTCTGTCCTATGGGCAATTACGATGTCAGCACATGAAGACACAAGTAGCACTGGTTGCTGCATCAGCATCTGCAAGGGAATCATATCAACTGGGGACATGGACACATGCGTGAATTTCATTTTTTTTTTTTTTTATGTTTGTCAGTTAATGCTGTATAATTTGATGGTATGCATCAAAACCGATGTGACCGGGGAAGTTCCGTATCTGAATCTTCAGTATAGTGGCTTGTGATTGTCTGTATATTTACAATTTATGATCCATTGTTCTTTACTTACCAAGACAAGCAATATTATAAACTACTTGCGTATACTTGGCAAAAGTCAGCACTTAATAAAATGAAATGTGAATAATATATTAGACATTTAAGAGCAATGAACAGCTCTTTGGAATATCAGTTCTGTTTTTTCAATGCATGTTGCTGTTGCTACAACGAAGCACATGTCTGCAGGTCTGGTTGACTCGGTAGGTTGCATCTTACCAGTCATCAAGAAGTGTGATGTGTTGTTCTATTTAGCAATTTCCTCACTTTCTTGACCACATGTTCATCTCTGAATGACTGTCCAAAGAACAGGACAAGGATTTGTCCAAAGGATATGGCATTAGTGATGCTGCACGTCGCTTGCAAACATCCGGGGACTTGCACCACAAATTAGGCTGCAGGATATGAGCTAAGTAACACACTATTCATCTTAAACGCCTGCCTTTGACATTCCTGCTGAACCAATCAAGCATTATGTGATGTGTGAGAACTCACAAAAAGACTTAAAATGTGCCAACTGCTCGCTGATGTAATGGAGGGCAACTTAGAGTCAAAAGAAACTTCCGTTCGAAACAGCTTGTTACGGTTTTATGAATGCAACAGATTGACAGACATTTCTTTAAGTGTTGAATGTTCACACAGCGTTTAACTATTTAAAGACATAACAAAACCAAAGTTTCTGTTATGGTAATTTAATTTCAGTAATTTAATATCAAAATCATGTTGTTACAAAGCAAAAAACAACGTCCATAATTTGGCAGTGCACATTTGATTTTAAACCTCCATTTGATATCCAAATGTAAATGTCACAGATTCAGACTCCTGGTTGAACTTTTCAATTGTCTGTTTCTTTCCCCATAAATTTGACAGTTTATCTCTGTCCATAGAATTGAAACTCAAGGCTGGAAGCACGTTTCCAACGTTCCCATGTTTCCATATTCTTGCTGCTTTGCTTCTCAACAGCTCTAGCAGAAAAGGCACTTAATATTTCCCTTGTAGCACCAGTCTCTGTCATGGAGGCAGCTGATCCATCCTCCTCTCCTCCCTACACTGGATCGTCTGAATAGGTTTGTACAAACTAACATATCCAATTCTTCCACACCCGCTATTTTGTGCCACCGGCTGACACTATGGACTCATCTGCTGATCAAGTCACCGGCTATTGACAAACTACTAACCTACATTCTGCTAATACTTTGGCCCTAATGCTTTAGGGCCAAAGTACATTTCTGATCAGATGATACCTTATGAACCACCACGAACCCTTAGGTCAGCTGGGACGGGTCTCCTTTCTGTTCCCAGAGTCAGAACTAAACACGGAGAAGCAGCGTTCAGTTTTTCTGCTCCACACATCTGGAACAAAGTCCCAGAAGAGGTCTGCTGAGTCCCTCAGCTCCTGTCAATCCAGATTTTCAGTCTTTTCTGTTTGCTGTTGCCTTTAATCGACCGTTTCTGCAAGTCGGAATTCTTAAAGACATTCTTAAATTACATTACATACAATTTTATTCTATCTGAAATCTTTTAACGTCTAACGTTTAACGTTTTTATCCTTTTAATGACTTTAAAAAAAAATGTTTTCCTTGTATCAATGTTCTTAACTGTTTTTAATGGTTTTACGTGAAGCCCTGTGTGGTCCTGTTTTAGGAATGTAACACCCGTTCCTCCTCCTCAGTCGTTCTGTTATCCACTGCTCTTGCAAAAAAAGAAAGCAACCTCAGCGGAATAACTTGAAGGGAGAGGAGAGAGGTAAGCGGAAACTGATGCTTATGTTCATCAGAACAATGGTTCAGCGCAAGGTATCAATCCATTTTTCTCCACATTGGGTGAAAAAGATACGGAACAAACATCAAATCTGATTTTCTTTTCAAAGCTCAAAGAAAATAAACATTATCCAGGGACACCTGTCCATTTGACTGAAATAAATTGTTTCGTTTGACTGATTTTAGAATTCAGAGCATCGTCGACTGATCAAACGACACAACAATGCACGAAATGAAACTTTTACTTTTACTCACTCTACATCCCAACCTGAATACTAAGAGATTCATTTGCATTTTACAAAATTAATAGAAAGAGGAATATTTTTTTATTTATTATCATCGGTATTTCTATTACTATTTGTAATGTATAATTGATTTGTTTTTCACCTTAAAAATAACGCCTGAGAGTTCACAAGTCGGTGGCCTTTTCTATCTCCCCGTCTGGCTGCGTCCGTTCCCAGCCTTGTCGGATACGGGTCAGGGTTCGATCCACGCAGGGGAGGAGGACCAGGGCCTTCAGCACGAGCACCACAGAGGGCACAATCAGACAGAGCATGGAGCCAGGAGGGGTGTACCATTTGTAGGTAGAGGGACGAAGAAATTTGTTCCAGGCGTAGATGTAGCCATGCGTCGTACATATGAACAGGGTCAAGTGGCCCAGCGTAGCCTGGGAGAAAAAAATTCACATGGAGTGGAAATGTTAAAACAGTTGTGAGTAAGTACGCTTGATGCTTAAAAGATACAATGTTTCCCTCAACGCGTGAATGTCACACCAAATTTAAATAGTCGTGGCCAGCAGCCTGTAGCCTTGAGTAGGCACAAAAGAAACAGATGCCCGTCTCCTTCCAGAGTTAACAAGATCAACCCACCAATGGTGGGTTGATCTTGTTACCACCAGCACCTCTTAAGCTGGGGGGTTCGTGTGCTTTTATCTCCGAAACTTTTAACACACTTGGAGAAAAAAACAATCCAGCACACAACTCTATAGAGAGACAGAGACGTGTAAACTACAACAGGAGCTTTAGGAGAGCCTGGATGAGGGGCTACGTGGCCGTTGCATGGATCCAAATGAGCCATTTTTGCGGGTTTCCGTTCATTAAACTAACCAGGTGCTGGTGTTTAGCAGATACAGGGAGAACATATGTTTATTTTATTTTAAATGAATTAGTTTGGATTAAATTGACACCATTTTCCATTTTTTCTTAAATATGAATTTGATATGATTCCAGGGTAGTTGTTTTGTGGCCCTAGTGGTCTTTGAGGCTCAGTTATTGTTAACTACGTGTATAATTAAACATTTGGATGATGATGTTCTCATCCACAGTGACGCAGAGCAAACAGCACAATAAGAAAACATTCGTATTAATGAGGCACAGTAATTAACGGCGCCCCTATAGCGCTAATCAGGGATCTTCTTCAAGCCATTTACAACAGCAAATCCTTCTGCTGCCAACATTCAACATTCATCATTTACATTCCTTGGTTGATAACCCCTGAAGAAGAAATATGTTTAAATTGAAACCAGTTGCTGTTTTTCACAATTCTTCTCACCGGATCCTGAGAGTTATCTTAACCTGAACCTCAATCTGTGAGTCACATTCCCTATCTGAGGTTTACTTAAGGACCTGACCTTTACAGAAATAGACCTGTGACCTGTATTAACAAACTCCTCCCTGATGATTGTACCAGTTGTCATAAATCTATTTAATGAATAACTTAACATTTAAGATCCTGGCTTCATCCAGGCTTCCACTCTTAGGCAGATAGTTAACTAGCCTTTGGGGATGTGAGTGCCAGAGACATATTGCTTTTACAACACCTTTTTTTTTACGTATCTTGGAAACTCCAAATACAGATTATCACAGTGCTAAAAATAGATATGTTTTTACTAATAATGAGCACATGACTGACATAATGTCTGAGGCCTTAGGTTGATCGCGCGCACATCCGCCCACACTCCAACACATGCACGTAAAGCACTCTACATTTCCCACTGCGCTCTGACCTGTATGAAGTTGAACTCTCTCCAGCTGAGAGAGCCTCCCACCGAGGGCAGGGATGTCAGTCCTAGCAGGACAAAAAGAAAGAAGCCCAGGACTCCCAGCATATAGAATGAGTCTTGACCCCATGCCTCGGTGTTATCAAAGTAAAGCGGGGTGGTTTTGTTGTTGTTCGTCTGAGGGAGATAGACAGACAGTGCTAAAAGGGTGGTTAGCTTAATGTTATACTTCTCTGTGTGCAGGATCGTAAAAACACTGCAGGGTTTGACCAAGCCTGCTGCTGCACCTCATCCACCACTAGCGAGATGAGTTTGTGCCTGACAGAATAGCGGGTGGAAGTCACGAATGTATAGATGGCGTGGAGAAAAGCGAAGGCCAGTGCAATCAGACCCATCTGCTTCCTACACCGCATCCAGCGGTCAAGCCAATCAGGGAAGCGCCTGGAACATGCAAAACGGAGCTTAGACCTCAGAAATGGATCGTGCACAAGCAGTGAGGATTTTTGTGATGTTTTGTTGTCTGACCTGTATTTGGTTCCTCTGTAGAGCTGAACGAAGGAAGCTATGACACCAGGCAGGTAGCACAGAGACAACATGATGAGGGACACAATGGGAAACACCTGAAAGATGGGGGATGAGTCCTTTAAAGGGGGACGACATAATACCATCGACAGAACATTTAACCTCGGCAAACCATTACCTTGTTGCCAAGGGAGACTGTGATTCGGTAGGAGATGTCTTTCCCCTCTTCAACATATGCGTAGATGACATCTCTAATGAGCAGATAGAAGAAGAAGGAGGCGGTGAGGCCGACGGCCACGCGCAGCGGCAGCCTCCACTCTGGGAAAAGCTGCAGGGGAAAGTCCTCCAGCTCTTTGGCTGCTGACAGAGACCCTTTATCCAGAACCGAGAGGCCCAGCTTAGTGGACAGCTCTGCTACCGCCCGCTTTGCTTCTGCACTGTTCCCACACAGGTACACCTGGAGCATAGTGGGGGTTGTTCTAAAAACGGGGTTTCACAGCCACTTCAAGAAAAAGGTTGGTGATGTACTATACAAACATATATGTAGCAACCTGAAACATGTCTATTTCTTGCTGATATAATATCAATGTGTACATTTAAAAAGCTTACGGCAAAACGTCAAAAAAAATACGTCAATTTTTCAACAAATACCATAATGTGCCCTAAACCCGCAGCAGACCAACTCCCAAGCCCAAACTAGACTAAATTTTTTCTGTAACTCTTTTCAGCCTCTGATTTTGTGCACTAGTCCCTGATTACAACAGCAAAATGGTGTTTGTAGGACTAATTCAAAATAAACTGAGTCCATGTACATTTTTCATCGAAGGGAACCTGTCCCCTATGTCCTAATCTTTATGTGCAATGTTACACCTCAAACTAATAAAATATAAACATTTTCCTTTCTTTTTAAGTTGCTAATAATCAGTAATAGACACATGCACCCTATACGTATACTGCTCAATATGTAATCCTGTTTCTAGATCTTCACCATGCTGAAGGTTATTAACACACTCACGGCTCTGTGATAAGACGATTAACTTGTTTGTAAAGGTGGGAAATAAAGCGTATTATCCAAAGGCGAATGACAGCTAGAGAGAGAGAGAGAGAGAGAGAGAGAGAGACAGAGAGAGGGCAGTTTGATGGGCAGATAGTGGAGTCAGTGGGATGCTGCAGTTTTCCCCCAGGTGTGTGTATAAGTGGACCGGGCAGCCAGCCATGACTCCCTCCATTACTGCACCAGTAACAGCAGGGGAAGGCCAACAGACTAAATCTTCATCTGAATGTAAATGTGACAGAGGCACAACCCCGCTGTGGATCTGTTCAAATTGCTGGCCGACGAATGGCGCACACTTAAAAGCAGCTGCATGTGTACTGTACCAACACGTGCACCTCTAACGACACACTTTCAGAGGCTCCTGTTTTCTCACAATGCCTTAAAAAAAATTGAGCACTGCTGTGGTGTGTGTGTGTGTGTGTGTGTGTGTGTGTGTGTGTGTGTGTGTGTGTGTGTGTGTGTGTGTGTGTGTGTGTAGGTGTGTGTTTGTGTGTTGAAGCGGATTCAAGGCAGATTCAGGTTTGGTCTCCAGAGGTTTCATCTTGTTTGTGTTTTCTCTTTGTAGCTGCGAAACTAAAGCTGCAATAAACAACGGTCTTTATGCTGTGTAACATTATGAAGTGTGTTTGTTTATTTGTTAGCGTGTGCGTTCATACAAGCACTGTCCTAGTTTTCTCTCTCTTTTCTTATCCATCAATCACCTTCAACTAAAATGAAATCAATTCCCTAAATTCTGTGTGGTTTATGGAGAAGCATTCATGTCCTATTATCAAGGGGCCTGAGAGATAGATTTCCAATTTCCTCGGAGGAAATGTTGATCAATCGTTGCCAGGTGTGAAGTTGCACATGAAAAGATTAAGTTAATAATCTCTGTCTTTGTATCTTATCAACACAGACTCGGGAGCATCCTTGCGTTTTCACACTGATATAACAGCTTCCTCACTTGCACTCGTCTCTCACCTGTTTTCCTGCCAGAAGTCCGTTCTGCAAAGCCCAGGCAGACAGCGTGTTGAGTCCTTTCACCACAGCAGCTCCAGGGACCAGTCTGAGGAGCACACAGCAAGGGCTTTAGCTGCCATTGTTTCTAAATTCCAAATAGAGAAACAGGGAAAAACACTGCCTGATATGGTGGGAAATAATGTTTCCACTTCAAATAAATATAAACACAGTAGGTCGGCCCGACAAGGGAGATGCAACCCCGCTATTTTGTTTCATTTCCTTTGGATTCAGTTCAGAGTTTTGATGTCTGAAGTTTCTTTTAGGAGCACTTTCACAAAGAAAAGATTTCAAGCATTAAAAAAAAAAAAAGGCGGCACCTACTTTTGACAGTAGACCCATGTTATATTTTTCTGCAGAAGCTCCATTGATAAAAAAAAAAGACATTTATTGAAGCCTTCACATCCAGCGTCTTTCTGATTGAGGTGTCCTTCGTTTCTTCTATTTGCTTTTACAGGAGTCTGTTACCTCTGCAAGTAGGTGGCGTTGGCCTCTGGGTACATGTCTTTCTTCAGGTTGTTACTGAGGTCCACCAGCACCTTGTAATCCACCCTTCAGCAGCGCAGGAGACAAAGGGAAAAAATGTTCAATCAATTCAATTAACTCTTATCTTGTCTCATACATATTACTATTACACTCAGAGAGACTGTTGAGCTAATCAGAAGGTACGATGAAGGTCTGAACAGAAATTAACTCAACAAAAAGGAAATCAATGCAGATTAAGCCATGTCAGCGGTATTGCGATTCTTTTATTATTATTCACATTACTTTTTATACTACAGACAAGTACAAACTGTTCCACCATCATTAATCACAATTCCTGATTCTGATCTGATTTCTTTTCGAAAAAAAAATGTTTTCATATCTTCATGATGCCTTATCTGCATTATTTTTGCATATGTTATTTTTATTGAGGTACATACTGTTTTCATTTGTATTAAAACATAATATGACTATGTATGAAGCGTTTTAATAATCACAAGATGTTTGAGGAGCTACATTCTTTGCCTTTGACCTCTTCGCCTGCCTGCACAATAAATCGTGTATCACAATGAGAGGCACAACTCTTTGAAGTAAAAACTGGGGAAAGGTTGTGTTACCTGGAAACAACGATCAAACAGTAACGACCGAAATACTAAGACTGTACACAATACCCATAACAAAATAATTTATTTAAAGGAAGGAAAGGAAATGCATCAAATAATTTGCAATAACTTTGAATCACGTCATTACTGTGCATTGTCGCTGTTGTTAAATCAAATTAGAACAAATACACCTTATTTTCTACCTGTGGATCTGAACAACTGAGCATTGTTATAACTTCATGATTAAATGATCTGTTTGTGAGGTTACCGGTATACTGGGACTTGGAGTGTGGAGTGAGAAATCAATCTGATTTTTTCAATCAACAACAGGAAGTACTTTTTAACTTGCTATTTCTAATTAACTATAACATCCTGATTATTTCTCTACAGTAACTACTACTAGGATGGTCACTTCATTTAACAGTTATACTGCTCACCCTTAGAGGGTCCCTTGAAGTCCTACTTAGGATTTTGTAAAACGTATTGTTGATTGATTGACTGATTCCAACATCAAACATTGATTCACCTTCCCGTCAAGATGATGTGCCATCGTCTCCAGGAAGCCGTAGTGTTCTCTGTGAACGCAGATAAAGATCAAACTGGCAGATTGGGCTGCCGCCGCGTGGCTCATCACCTGTACAAAACACATTGAGATTAAGAGACATGAACGTGTTTGAGCCGCACATATACACACACACACGCGCGCACAATTCAACAGACTAAAAGTGCAATGTTAAGCCCATGAGTGCTACCTGAGCTCCCTGAGGCAAGGGGCCACAGCTGTGAGGTCTGCGGCTGCCGTACACCACCCCGTAGCCCGACTGCAGCAGACGCAGGCCCAGAGAGCGCCCCAAGTCCCCCGTACCGAAGACACACAGCATCTCTGGCACAGGGGCAGCTGCTGTGCCCAGAGGAGGCAACACGCTCTCAGTCTTCATCATCTCCAGCAGGCTACTCGCCACGGATGTGTGTTCTCACTCACTCTCACAGTTTCTGCTGTGTAGGTTATATTACCCTGGAATCTGACCTGCACACTGCCTCTCCCTCTTTAAGTGTGCATGACATCATTTTTAACCCCCTCTCTGCCCGCCGAAATAGCGCATATGTGTGTGTGTGTGTGTGTGTGTGTGAGATGTGGTTGTTTTTAACGCCTGCAATCAACAACCGAGGTCATATTCGGAGTGGAGCATGCGTCGCATAATGATGAGTCACTGTGGGTAATCATGATATTTAAAAGTGTACTTTTTGTTACAGTACGTGCAGCCAAGAGTTTGCATCTGTCGATGTTTTTAATATTTATTCTCTGCTCAGAAACACAGAATTGGACTTTTACATGAAATGGAAGAAAATCTCATTCTGCTGCTTTCCAGGCGTATACCTTATTCTTTCTCTTACCACACTAGACATGGAAGACGTCTCCTGGCCAACAGATTCATTATCATTTCAAAACCCACTGTTCCAAGCAAACGACTGGGAAAAGAATCTGTGCAAATAGCGTTCATGTCCCCGTGGCTGAAACATCAAAGTGGTGACACGAACAAACTCAGCAGAGCAGAAAGAAGCTTGGCACACATGATAGTGTTTTGTGGGGCTGCTTTACTTTGTATGAATGCGTGGCTTTGCTTGCCACTGTTTTTTTATCGGCCCGTGTGTGTGTGTGTGTGTGCACACTGAAATGGGTCAGGAAGATCAGAGCGAACTAGAGTCGCAGCTGTGATGCGCAGCACCCGGGGAGTCGGCTCTGCAGGCGGGGTGACTACCTGGCTGGAGAGACGACACACAGCGTCACATCCACTTTACTGACTGTTTGAACAAAAATACTCCTTCTCACCGTAAAAGCGGCGTCATTGAAATTTCACAATGTGCATAAATAGAGGCGGCGATATTTATGGAAGACAAGCGGCGCGTTACCTCGGGAGCTTTTACAGTCAAGTCCATAACTAAAGCATTAATGTCTACCTTGGGGGATACCACAGCAAAATGAGAAATCATTTTATGCCTAACCTTTGAGGCATCCATTCACTTGCAGCACTGTTAGAATAGACCTGATAGCAGATCCAGTCCGATGACTCATTTACTCGCCGTGCCTCCGGGACATCTTTCCTTCTCCTCTTCCCTCTCTCTCTCTGCCCAAAAGTCACAGTCTCTCACAGTCCTCTCTTTCTCCCTTTTGCCCTCCACACTCTCCCCCTGTCCTCGAGTGCTCCCCGGGCCTCTCTTTGCTCATCTGCCTCTAAATGAACAAGTATTAAAATCGTTGAGTAAATTCAATAATAGCTGACTGTTAATGTTTTCCAATGTCTTTCTCTTCAACAAAACACGGTGAGCTAAAAACCCTGTTTTGCTCTCAAGGTTATCAAGCCCCCTTCGACACACACATACACACGCAGGTCAAACTTTTAAAGGACACTTCCCCGGAAGCTCGCTCCAACCAACCCTTCAAATTTAGGTTGTAGTCGATTTGGCGACCCATGTGGCTACTGGTACAACAAAAGGTGTCCACCACTGGGGCCGTCACCCTAATGCATGAAAATGCAAATTGGAACCCCGTGCAAGACTTTGCTTACGTTGCACATCGGCTGGATTGTCACAATATCTCAAGATCACATGAAAATCCATCTTGTAATTCTTTAAGTATTGAGCTTGCGTTGTGCCAATCGGTGTCACTTTGAGTGGCCGCTCACGGCTCTGAGACGACACAGAGAGGAAACAAAAACAACCTCCCCGGAAAGGTTTTCTCAAAGGGAAGGATTTTTTTTTCCAATTCGCTTTGGCAAAGATTTTGATTGACAGTAATACCCATCAACTCCTTTTTTTTAAAGCGCCCTGGACTGCATAGATCGATACTTTGCTAGTAGTAGCAAATTAAAAGTAGATTTGATTTAATTATATTTCAAAGCAGTTTTTTTGGCCATTGGGAAGCACAACAGCAAGCTTAAATGAATAATGTAGATGTTATCACCTCATTCATGCACACACACACACACACAATGACACACGTACCTCCTCTAGACCTGATTCCTTAAAGGTTTTAACAGCAGTCCTGAGAGGATTTAGAAGCATGCAAGTGTTTTGTGCTTATCTGAAAACATCTAGCGACATTTAACAGGGATACGCTGAGGGACACGTTTACATCAAACACGCGCTGAACCAACGTTTTATAAATGTCAGGGCTGAGTACGGATTACAGCTCATGTGAGAAACTGAGCATGAATTGTGTTGGATCAGCCTGCAGTGCATTACTGAAAGAACATGCAATCTTGCAATAGTGATTAAAAATGTATTTTTCTAGTTTAACAGACAAAAAACTGATTTGCAGCTCTTGCCAACAACACTGCACCGCATGCACAGCAAGCAAGAACGAACTGGATGAGGTTTTGTTCCCATGGGCAATTATTTGGAGGTTTCCAGCTGCTTCCAGCTCATAGAACGGTACAAAGAATGATAAGAGGCACAGTTATTAAAGACGGTTTAAGAGTCACAGCATGCATACGTACTTCCATGCTGCTACAGTGGACAGGATAAAAGAGTTCTGTGCAATTGCTGTTATACGATGGCCACTTCTGTAATGCATTAGGAATGAGGTTCAGATGAGCTGAGATTTGGAGGTGGTTGGAAAAAGCGGACAGAGAGAAAAGGTATCAAGGCACAGAGCGAGATCCTGTATGTACCATCAGGCACGATAGAAACAGAGAGAGAGAATAGCAGAGAGAGGAGAACACAGACAAAGAGACAAAAGGAGAGACGCAACTTAGGAAAGCGGAAATTCTGCCTCAGTAGAACAAAGACCCTCGTTAGAACCAGAGGTTCCCAAAAGTATTGCCAGAAATATTCTATAAATATTCCATTACTAGCTTTCCAGACAGACACGCCTGGGATCTTCATTATGAAACACTTAGAATAGGTTCATGAGAATCCGAGTATGAATGAGTGCAGCCCGTTGTGTTTACCTTTGATGAAAATTCCGAATTTGCGCTGATGAGCTTCTGTACATTAATAGACACATAGACGGAGTACATATCATGTGCCTACGCATAAGGAACACACTGTGAGTGTTTATGTGTTTCTGTGAGTTTCCATTTGTGTCACCCTGACTGTATGTGTGTGTGTGTGTGTGTAAGTTCATACTGAATGTCCCATTATTGGCATCTCCACAGCCGGCTCACACACCACATAGAAACATTTCCCAACTCAGAGGGCCTCGTTCTCTATCTCTGCTTTAACAGGATGAGCATTAGCTGTTTGAAGTCAGGAATCTTATCTGGCGCGCCAAGCAGCAGAAATCAGAGGTGGGGAGGAGCTGCAAGAAGCTGCAGATTTAGAGATTTGCCTCTTTCGTCGGACACACACTGCTGCTGAATTATATTGCTCATTTCAGAATTCAGCCTTCAACGCAGCGGATTGGGACGCTTTGAAAATATCTCGACAACGATAATGCTTGCATGGGACCGTCTTATCCTCTCCTTGGAAAGAAAGCGTTGACAATCTTTGGCCTCATCTGACTTTTTTCCTCCCTTCCTGTACTTCCCGTCGCTCTTTGTGCGATCTGAGACGGATGAAACCGAACAGAACCGTTTCGGTTGCCACGCTGTGAGAGCTGAAATGAAAATCTCTGATGGATCCGTGTCACTCTATATAATCATATCTTTGACGAACAGCTGCGGTCTACAAATAGCATGCATCCACACAGCTCCTCCCTCATGGCTGCCGGGGAATCGGCGGCCCATTATAGGGCTGAAATGGGCCTGAAGAATTTTTTCGCCTCATCTCCTCAGCCTCACCTCCAGTCAAGTGAAAGAGCTGACAAGGTGGAGAAAAGCTGCCATAGAAGTCTAATTCTATAAGGATGAAAACCTCAGACTCATCAGAGATGTAATTTTCCTGCTTTATAATTTTACAGCAGTAAGGGTGAACGAAGAAGAGAGCGGGGTAGGCAGCAGGCAATTTGCACGAATTTAATGAGCAGTATGTTGATTAATGGTGATTAGGTAAATTGTTGTTTCTATCTAGGCTCCGTTTTCACACCGAATCTGTAGTTAACAAGGAGGAGAAATTTTCCTAACAAGGGAGGATGCCATTTGTTCTCATTCCCCTCCAAAATATGCCTTCTGGGATACAATTCCACAATGAGGCGACTCAGACAGACCCATGATCGGTGAAAAATAATTACGAGCCTGCAGCAGGCCAGTAGGATTAGTTGCATGGTTAGTAAATGTACATGAGGCCTCGTCTGTTGTTCAAGTCCATCCCAACTACCTCTCTCATGTTTATCTGTTCATTGTTTACTGATGTCCTCTGCTATTCTAATGTTTGATGATGTTTGTGATTAAATGACCTTCACACGCTGACACATCCACGCACACGAACACACACAAAGTAATCAGCGACACTTTTAGCTACGACGTTCTACTACTCAAACTTATAAAGGCTGTTTTGTTAGAATGCGGTAGCTTAATCTTTTGATTATTTTCTGCAATTGACCTTTGTTACGTGTTGTGAGGAATTCTCACAGATTAAGATAACAATGTTTCTCTTAAAACTCAAATGGGACTGAACTTTGCTGCAGTATATCCCGTCAACATGACAACGTGAAAAAATATGATGTACAACTGAGGATATTTCTCTTTTAAACATCTTCTAGGCTCTTTCCTCACAATATGGGAGGTCATTTATTGTTAGTATTTAATGACAAAAACTGGCATAAATGATTAGTTATCATCTGATTGATGGATGTTTTTTGTTCATTTCATCTTTAATCTTGAATGTTTCTGTGTACATTAAACATAACAGGCTTATCACAGCATTGCCTTTCTTTAGCTCTCCATGCTTTCATCTGTTTTCCCCTGTTTAACGTCACGTTGCAATGACTTGTGGGTAAACCCTTGGGCAAAGTCAAAATCTAAAGCTGACTCACAGATTGGGTTCATAAAGGACTCAAAATGTCTGCCAGAGAGCCGTCAAACACTCAAACAATAGACAGTGGGACAGCACTCAGCCATCACAGAGTCAGCGGGA